TTTAGCCTTGCCTCAGAATTGTTACATTATGGGCAAATGGTCTGGTTGTGACACAGGATCGTTTTCAGAAAAGCAGCAGACAGTGTCTAGAGGCGGGAAAAAAGGTCTTTATTGAGAAGGTCAAAAGGGACATAAAGGCAAAAACTGACTTTCACCGAAACAGAACTGGAGACCAGGCCTCCAGTGTCCTTTTTGTAATGCATTGCTTGTTTTCAGGTCCCGTGATAGAATTCTTCCATAACAGACAGAGGACTTTGTTAAATTGTAAATGAGTACTACTTCAAGCACTCTGTGGAAATATATTCTCCCCCTATAGCCCATACATTATTTCTGCTTATAGTGGCTCACATTTCCCGTAACTATCAGAGAGAACTTAATTCAACTCACACCACATCACTTTACAATTGTGTAGGTCTCTTAATCAACCTTTGTATCAGCCACGAATGTGCAGTATGACCTAATTTGAAAATGTCTCAAAGTGCTGACTCAAACTGTTAGTGAATAAAGGCTAGTCATTACCATTATGACACTAATGTGATGCAAAATAAAATTGAGTTGCATCAGCTGGACATTAGTTTGCAAAAATATTAGTGATTGAATCCATTTTCTGTTCATATTTTATTTATACTTATATATGTATATATATGCATATGCATATATTTATTTTTTGTTCGTTTGAAACAGGCTTGCGGCAAAATTATTGAGGGCAGAGGAAGGAAGCCACATTTTAACACTAGATAAAGACACTGGGTTAAAGGCTGATCATATGTATATCATGATCTCCTTTCTATAAGATGAAGACATGTTGCTGTTGAAATCTTATTAGGATATTCATATGCACATAAGCAATAACATATGAAAATTATCATCTTGTTCTGTACTCTGGTGCTAGATTCCATGGTTTCTAACAGCCCTGGTACTTCTTACTACTTCATATTACTCAAAAATTCTGACATTGTATTCACAAAAAACAAAAATTTGAGATTTATTTCTTTCATGGGCCTTCTTTCCTTCTTCTTTACTTGACAAAAAAATTACTTTGAGATAGAAATACCTTTAATAAACACTGTCATTAATTACTTGTGAACAAAAGAAAGTGAGATATAAAACTAGACATTATTTAGCCTCATCCCTACTGATAATACTTTGTGGAAGGCAACATCAATGATCTTTTTCTTACACAATTCAGAGGATTTTGAGGAAAAACTCATCGGTTTATTTAATACCTATGCATCCCAAAGCTAGCATTGGTTTCAAATTCTAAGCTGATAAGTAGTCATTGAAAATAAATCAACAGGAAACTTTCTTAATTTAGAGAACTTTTCCTAATGATAAATGAGGAACTCCACTCTGTATCTCATTTTGGGCCTCTGGAATTCTGAAAATCCTGAACATAAAAGTGATATATTAGTGATAAAATACTTCTGATTTTATTTCTCTAATGGTTCTAACAAACCTAGCACACAAATACAAAGGAGATATGTTGTCCTTTAAAATTGTCAAGGACAAGAAATTTTGGCTATCAGGAAATTATTTAACCTGCTTCCAATTGAGAGAATATATGTCTTCATAATATATCACCATAAGCGATCAGTAGAGAATACAGCTAAATTAAAATGCTGGCAAGCTCAGTTCATTCACTTTTTAGAAAAACAAGTAAAACCTTCCAGCAAGATGTGTAGAAATTTTCTACTATGTGATGACTTTCATATTTGAGTCCATTTTACATTGTGTAATATGTGACTTGGGCTGTTTTTATGACCTGTGCTTTATTACCACATTAAGACAATCCACATTTCAAAAAAGAAAAAGTTTGAATAATTTCAAAGTGAACTTGCCAAAACCAGCATTCAGAAGCACGGGTGCTCACGCTCGCAAACACAGGCACACTTTCAACTTACCTAAAAACGGGGATCGCCCTTTGTAGCTAAAATACAATCTTTCTTATTTTTAGGTTACCGTGAAAAAAGGTATGTGGGTGTGATTCCTGCAAATGGATTGCCAGTTTCTTAACAGTTCATCATTCTTAAATGATAGAAGTATAGCAGCACCCTTCTGAAAAACATCTTTTCTGTAGATTTTACTTTGTCCATGCCAGGACAAATTGCGTGCTAAATTGAATAATTCTGAGATGTGAGACACCTCCATAACTGTCCTTGGACTACCAAGGAGCTGGCATTTCTCTTTGGAAGATGAGGGGAGAATGCTCCATGCCCTCTTAATTGATGATTTACTGTGCTTTCCCTTGGGACCACATCCGATGATCTGTAAGCTTGTTGAATTTTGAGGCAGATACTAAATATAATCAATATATAAAAATATAAAAAAAGGAGAGAAAAAAATGCAATGAAAATTTATGACCTTAACATTCCTTCAGGGTCAAGCAATTTATCAAATTCTCTCACTTTCTGGTTTCAATTACACAGCCATTGTGGAAGGAACTTATTTTAGCAGGTTCATTTGCCTCAGTGGGGAATACAGGACTTTGGCCTAATGCTTCACCTTTAGTGCAGGCCATTTGGGCCTTAGAACAAATACCAATCATCACTCTTTGGGAAAAAAGAATCTGCATCGGCGTGGCCTATTGGAATGGGGTTTCTGTCAAGGTAAACGGTTGTCGGCAATGACTGTGGTAGAGTGGCGATAAATCCCATTTTATTGCTGAAAAATTCCAGCTTCTCTCCATGCCTGACAGCTCCCCACATTCTCATACCCATTTGGGCAATTTCTGCACTATGTCCATCTGGTTCTCATTACCTCTCAACCTGCCTGCGTCTGATCCAGAAAAAGAGCAGGTCAGAAACGGGGCTGGGGGGGGGGGGGGAAAGAAACCAAGGTGATGAACAAAACAGAAAGCCGGGGGGTGGCCCATGGGGTTCGGGGAAGAGTTGAGGTTGGGCAGAGTGGGGATTCCAGCTAAGACTCTGAGTGGTTTTGAGAAGGGGCCATATCAATTATTAAAAATGATCATGACAGAGTTGGAGCCAGAAGCTGGAGAAACCTGTATCTTTAGACTCAGGTATTAAAAAGACACCTGTTTTAAGGTGAAAGAGAGAGGAGAGGGAGAGAGAATGTGGTAGGTAGAGGAGGGTGGGATGGCATCTCTATTAAGAGCGCTGCCGGCTGGTTATCAGAGAAGAGGACCTGTTGTAGAAAAGCACAGAACCCTGTGTACACAGTTGGCAGGCTTCTAAATATGCAGGCGGATCAAACTCTGCTAGAGATTCGATTTTGGTTCAAAAACATACGTTTTTGAGGACAAAGAAAACTCTTGGCTCTCCAACTTTATTGTCTCCATCTCTCGAAGAAAAATAATATTTAAAAACTAACTTGTCTTAATTAGGGCATTTAGAATGACGGGACTAGCACTGAGTCACTTGGGAATTCATAACCCGACATATAATCACTTTTGGAATGGAGTGCATTTATGCCTTCAAAAAGTTGGCCTCATTTTCTGAAGCTGAAATCCTTTTGATCATAATTACTTCTGACCTAAAATTACCCACAGTCACCATACAATGCCACGCTGGGACAAAAAAGAAATACACATTGTAAGTATCTGATAACAGATATAAACTATCGGCCAACTTAAATAGTACCATAATTTAGACTACGATGAAACTATACAACTATATATTTTTGAATATAACATTTACTCATTATTATTATTATTTGGGTGCAGTGGGTGGGGCCATTGTCACAAATACTAAAATAAGAGTGGTTAAAGTGTATCGAAGTATAAATGATAAAGATCTGATAACTTTCCATACAAATTAGAATCAGATGAATGATTGCATGGATGTAGTTATTTCACCACCTGTTTTGAAGTCAAAGTTTGTATGTAAATGTCTTAAAACCAGGTATGATTGTGTATTCTGAAATATGTTGGAGAGCTGTGGCATTGTTATGATTTGTAGACAGAATCTCTCATGTTAGGTATGTTTGGATGGACATATTGAATGGTCTCTTAGTACCTTCTGGATCCCAGGGGTCCAGAATGTATTTCAAGTCCTCAAAATGGACATTTTTGACAGTCAGAACCCCCAGTACTGCATTGAATGTCTGGTTTTTATTGGTTGAATTCCAATATCGAAATTACGTTAAATTTTAGTTGCTGAGCCAGACCCTTTAGGCAAGAAATACTGTCTTCCAGTAATCGGGATTTAATTTCTAAATTTTCAAGTCATGACTGCTCAAAGGAGGTTTTATGAAATGTATCTGAAATAGTAAATGAATCCCACGTAGACATTTAAATTGCGAAATTGTGGCTAAAAATTTTAAATTAAAATGATAAGATAATTTGGATTGACATACATTAGAAATCATAAAAATGGAAGTTTGTTACCTTTAAAATCAATATTTTAGTCAATAAATAAAACTCTAAAACAGACGTTTTCACGTGGACATATTAAAAGGCGTAAACTTTTAGCTAGGGTCACATATCTGTTAAAACGGTCTTGATTTTAATGGTGTCTCTAATTTGGAAAGTAATTTCAGATTCTTAGCCAAGAAGAATCTTGCTTGAACTTTACTTTTCTAGGCTGTACATATAGCAGAGAAACGTGATCATTTAAATTCTAAAGGATGTTTGTTTCTTTTAATAGCATAGCAGAGAATTAATGGCATGGGGGAGAGGGACGTGACAACTTAACCTGATGCTTGATAGCTGTTTACTTATGAATGTGTGCCACAGATTTCAGTGTCTGTAAAAGAAGGGGAAATAAAGAAACCGATGGCTTTTAGGGAACTTAAGACACATGGAAGAAAGTGCTTAGAAGGCTATTGAAATATTTACAAAACAAATCATTTACATTAACTTTCTTATGTGTAGAACCTGGAGTGCCCGTGAAAAAACAGAACCAATTTTGGCTATGAGAAGTATTTCAGCATCAAAATGGTTAATAGTATTATAGCTTCAAAAGAGCCTATTGGCTCACCCTCAAGGATGCCCTGCAGTTGTTGTTAAAGTCATCAGATGAAGCTAGCCTTCTCAGCTAGCCTTTAGATTTGTCTGCTAACAGTAAAAATACTATAATAAATCGGTAACATATGTTGCCAGGCAAGGAAAAGTGATATAAATAAAGAGACTGGGAGACCCAAACCAAGTACAATGTGAAAAGAATTTAACTTTCAATCTATTTGCTGGCTAATTACCATTTGAAAAGTAATTTGAAAGTGTTACTGTTATTTGCTGATATTCTTCCTCATTTTTCTTCTTTTCCTCTTCAGATTGCATTCTTACCCAAATTCTCTTCGTGATTGCCTGCTTTGCGGCTTTGGGGTAAGTCCCAGTTTTCCACAACCTTAAGAAAAAAAATGCATAACATAAAAGATGCCAGAAAGACTTATGTGTCCTGATATTCGGGGTCTGTGAAATATACATGGGTTTGTTACTGGGGGTGGGAGGCATAATGAAATAAAGACAAGGGGTTTGTTTCCGCAAGGATCAAAAGTGTGCAAAAGTGTGCATATGCAAACGAGGCTCCCATCAGGAAAGCCACCTCTGGAATGGAAATGACAAAGCTTGGAACACACACAATCAATTATTTTCACCAGCATTTAAAATATAGAAAACAAAATCTGCTTTGGGAATTGACTGAATATTTTATTTAGCTTTTTTATTGAGACATCCTTTGAATAATGGCATAATATAAATAGTTTTACAAAGCAACAATATAATCAATCTCTAAACTAGAATATAAATCAAGGATTTCATTAACTGCTGGTAGCCAGTTTAAATTGTAGTCTTGTCCATAATGTCTATCTATCTATGTATGTCCAAGTTATATTAAAAACCTTTAAATGGCTTTGTAATATCAGCTACATCTAGCTATTATAATAATTAATGGTACTGTTTTATAAATCAATACATGTATTCTTGATAAATTCATATCCAGTTAATGGTGTAATTTAAATAAAAAATTAATGTAATAAAGGACATACAGAAATGGGCAGGAAATCTTTAAAGGTTAAGAGTCAAATTTGTCTAAATTCATTCTTAACCTGTTTTGGAAAAGTTTATATTTAAAATCAGCTGACACTTACCTTGTTTCTGTAAAACTAATCTTGCCATTTCTGGTGGTATCTAGTATTAAATTTGTAAGATGTTTTTTGACGTTGTTTTAATTACATAGTTACAATACTGTGGAATATTTTACTGTCGTTGTACTATTTTGTGACTATTGCATATTCTTCAGTAAAACAGAAGAAAACAAACTAAAGACCTCATACCAGTAATTTATTTTTAATTCACAAATGCATGCAAATGATTTATTTTTTGAAAATCTCCAAAGCTATATACACATTTTATTTAAGGGGAAGAAGGACTGACTAGTTCAAATAATTTGCATGTGGAAGAGCCGAGCATTTTCACTGCTTTCGCTGAGTGAACATTCCAAGAATTTTGGAAAGAAAAGAAAAACGCATGAAAGAGTCTGAAATGTATTTTAACGCTGCACCCGGGTACAGGAACATTCTACCAAAAGATGAGTGTATTATAGTTCTAATTTAAAGAATACATACCAGAGACATATTTAAAAAATAACAAGATTTAGAAAAACAACCAAAGGTTGTATGTTATCAAATACAATATCCAATCTTTCCAAATAAAATTTCATTTGGTTTCTAAGAGTAAGCGTTTTACAAAAAATATCTTTCAAAATTATGCAGACCAGTCTGCCCTGCCATCCTCCTTGACATGGTGCAGAAATGTTCCTTTAATCCACTGAGCTTTTTCTGACATTTTTCTTAACATTGCTGAGCCTTATTTAGAGCACCAAAGGAGGCGTGTGCAGTTTCCTTTGACACTGATGGGTATTTCAAAATGTTACAGAGAGAGGGGGGAAAAAAAAGAAAGAAAAGATTTGCTGCCAGTCACTTCATCAATAGAGCTACAGAAGCAATTACTATTTGTTAAAAGTTTACATTTCAAATGAAGCTAAATTTTAAAGAAGTCTCATCCTTTTAGAAGGACTGGTGCTTGGAAGAGAGAGGAAGAGAATGCACATTAGTGATTACATGTTAAAGTGCACTCAAGTACTGGAACCATTTAAAATGTATTGTGTTTTTAGTCGAAACCTGCAGCAAAACCACTCCTAAGAGGCTTAATTTAGGTTTTATAGGAGGAACATAAAAAAGACCAGGTTATAGCAACATGCTGAAATATGGGGTACATTTTAAATATCTTCATTTAAAAACGTATGTTTATTTCCCCTCCTGGGATCACTAACGTGCGTCTCCACAGAGAAAGCAAGGACATGCATTCTTAAAAATTATCTGTTAAAGGGATCACATTCCAAGACAGGTTTGGGCATTTTTATTACTACAGATAACCTCTTAATTATGTCACTGCCTTCCACTTGTTAATCAGGGACATTCAACATAGTTAACCATGGAGTAGTTGCCTTTAGAAGAATACATTATTATTAAGGATTAGAAACACATTTTATTCCTATAATCATATTACATGTATGGTTTTAGCACTGCTAAAACCCTATTTACCTGCTTTAAATACATAACACCTAAGAAAGGATCTAGATGCCTATAACAATGTTGTTCATTACTTCAAACTGTGCAGTTCATGAAAAGCTTCAAGAGACAGATAATTTTACTTTTCCTGTCTCCCCGCTCCACCTCCCCCATGTCCCATGCAATTCCGATTTGGATTGATTTTAGGTTTCCTGTGCAGCCACCAGTATCTGAGATACTCAGGTACTCTTTCAGAGACCAAGGTGTAAGTGAAGTAAATAAAATCATGTTTCACTGTTGCTTTATCAACCCTCCTAGGTAGTTTTTCTGCCAGCCAACCTGCACTGTTAAGACCCATAAAATTATGCAATAGTGACTTCTTTGGAGGTTCTCTAATCAGATAATGGCTGGTGTTAGGAGGCAAGGGCCCAAGGCAATGTTGCTGGTACTTAACACTGTGGTTGGTCATTACTTGTCTAGTAGAGACCAATAAACAGCTGATTACTATCCTATACGGAGCCAATATTTTACATTTATCCTGGTTATTTTTTCCTTTTCTTTTCAAGTTCTTATAAGAGGAAGTATTTGTCAAGAAGATCTATGAGTAGTAGCCTCCCAGGCACCTTAAAAATAAGAATATTCCTACCATGAAATGATGGCTTTTGTGGAAAGGTGGGAATGATTCTGGTTTTTACAAGAGCAAAGGTTTGATTTGTTTCAAGTCCATTTCTTTCAGACAGGGACACTCCCCCACACCATCCCTGCTGCTCCCTGTCCCTTTCCCCCTCTATGACAGGTTCACGGGCTGCAACCAAGGGATTTTAAAATCAAAGGTTTATATCAATATTTGCACTCTGGCAATAACAGGCCCATTTTGCTTCCTCTGTAAGCCTGTGATAATTGATGCTTCATACCTGGAACTATGTTTCATTTATCTTTTTACTCATGAAGATAGTATATAAATAAAAGGTAATTTATGGAAAGGAACCAACCATTTGAAATAATAATCCTAAATCCAACTAGATAATCTTTTAAAGCTGTAAGAGTCAGAGATGGAGATTTCTAAACTTCTAAAGAAAACTTGATTGCAAAGAAGAAACCTGTGCATTTTTGAATGCTTGTTGAATTTGAATGTCTGTGTGGGCCAAAAAAGAATCAGAGGGACAAATGGAAACCAGGAAACAAAAGGTGTAAATTTTAGATGTGTTTTAAATTAATGTATTTAATGACCTATTAGACTCATTACAATTTTATTGACTTTCCCTTTACATTTGGATATAATTTTATACTAGCCAATGCAAACTGCAAACTGGTGAGTCTCCTAAGGTGCTTTTCCTTTCCTGGGATCCTCATCTTAGAATGAACAGAGGCACATCGATAAGAACTGGACCTTGATTTCACAACCTCTTACAAAGCCAGGCAATTCTTGAGCCAAACAAACAAAGGGGGGTGTAAGCGATTTCATTTATTTTGATAATCCTCCTCTTGCACGGGAGCATTTTGCTGTCTTTGTCAAAGTGAATGACAACAATTTGGCCAACTCTCTCTGAGCTGCACTCAACAGTGACAGGCAAATTATCAGAGGCCCTGCACTTCTTATTATCAGAGGAGAAGCCATCAGGGGGACGCATGGAGGATACCTCTCCCTTGTCACTATTTGTCAGTGGGACAAGGGCCACTGCTATGGGTAGCTGACAGGTAATTTCAACAATAACAATTACTCCTATTACTGGTGTCATAAACAATTCGCCCAAGGCATGACAATAGCAAAGCTTTATAATTCAATGCCATATAAATAAATGCCAGCAGGTAACAAGTAATTTAGCTCCAATCAAGCTTTCACCCCAGCATTAATATTGTTATTGTAAGAAAATGGAAAATTGAAAAAATTCAATATGTTAATGAATTAAGAGAGGTTCAAGGGCTAGACAAGAGGAGTTGGAAAAAGGAAACCAAAATTAGTGTGGTATCGTATTTGGTGCCATCCTGGGGGCCAAACATCAGTATAATTACTTTAAGACAAGAAGGAGAACTGGAGTGCCTTAGATCTCAGAGCAGGGAAAAATGTGACGTGAGCTTTCAAAAAATCCACCTAACTCCAATTTCCAAAGAATATAAGTAGAAATATGAGAATGTATATATACAATGTAGCATTTCACTGGCTTTCTTTTTCTACCTGAAATATTTCATATGAAGCAGAAGCATGAGTATCAAAGGAATGTTTGCATCTGTTTAAGAAAATTGTATTGGTACCTGCTTCCTTTACATTAAGTCTCATAATGAAACTATTTTAATACTCCTTTTTTATCTGGGGTGAAGGTAAAGCTGAAAGTCACCTTTGCTCTCCAGCTGTCCACCTTTTGGAAGTGGACTAGAGGATACAGTCTTATCTTCACACATAAAACTTCCTGATCAAACCAATTTGCAATTTTAGTATTTGTCCAGCAAGACAATGTGCCATCACAGTGACAGCAGTAAAAGAATTTGAAAATCTCTAATTAGGAGAGCTGCACACCAATTAACGCATGTCAAATTTCACTTCATCAAGTGCCACTCTAATTTTCCCTCTAAAAATTAATGGATTTTTTTTCTTTTGGTATGTGTGTGTGTCCCCTTAAGGCAATGTTGATTCAAATCTGCTCAAGATGCAGTGTTGCACAGCTAAGCATCTTCTTGATTACAATCCGCCACACTTCTAACTGCGCTCATTCGCACTGCCACGGATACTTTGTCAACAGTCAAATTACACCACGCTGATAACAATGCATAATGGTGTTCCTCCTCCAGTCCCCTGTCAGGAGAGGGGCTTCATAAAAATGTGATGTTTTCTTCTCAACTGTATCTAAAGGAAGTTTGTATGACTAGGTCCCCAGTCAGGCGTTAATTTTTAAAATTAGTTTGTTAATTTCAAAAAAAAAAAAAAAGAAGAAGAAGAAGCAGCAAAATGATGGCATATGAAAAGTCCTCACTGGAAAAAAAAAAAAAAAAAAATCAGCAAAGAAGGAGGAATGGAGAATATCTATGGCCAAAGTTTTACTTAAACACTTTGTTCGGAGACATTTTCAAGAGCACTATTCTTGGTTAAAAACCAGATTTTTTTTTCTTTACTTCTGGTCTATAAACATTGGAAGCCTCTCTTGAACAGACTGTATTTAGATTGTGCTAGAAGTTTGTTTAACTGCCATATTTGCCAGAATCCTCAAAACATCACAGGACACAGAAGACAAATGACTGTGTGTGGGGGGCGGGGGAGAGGGGGTGCGTAAGGGGGTCAGGATTGCATATTCCAGATAAATGTTGATTCACTTTTAACTATTTTTTATCCTAGTTGCTTGTTGCGGATTGGTGTGTCTGAGGCATCAGCACACGTGGGGAATATTTCTCACTGAAAAATGAAAGAAAGAAATGCAGTGATTAGAAGATGATTTTACATTCAGTCTTTTTAGAGATTATTCAGATTTCTTATTTTTCAAACACAATCAAAACCAGAACAAAAACAAGGAAATTAAACAAAATTTTAAATCTATTCTCTTATAGATTCTTCAGGGAGTAGAGAATATTCACAGGGTTGACATCTCAGCCTTCTCAGCGTATAAGCATATTGTAATCCTATTTATTCACTAAAAATGTAAATTCCTCTGATCTACACTTTATTTTCTTTAATCTGCAGGTTGAATACAGCTTCTTATTCACTGACGACTAACTCAAAAATTTAAAACGATATTTTTAGGTTTGTATTTCTGAATATTAAAAGTGTCTTCCTTCTCCTATGGCCCCACCCCAGCATGTTCTTAAGTGTCTCTTTCAAACAAAAGAAAATGACATCCCCCTTTCAACTAGCCAAACATTAGATTCTCTCAGAACTGACTGGGGATTCACTAGAAGTTTTGCAATTAGATTCATTCAAATTGAATTATTTTCTTTTTTTTCCAAACATCGTTCTTAGAACTTTATAAATGTAGCAATACTGGCTTCACAGTTTCATGTGGCTCGTTTATAAATAAAGGTATTTTAATAAAACCAAGTTCTATGTACCTTTGAAAAACAAAAAGCTGGAACAATCTCACATTAAAACATTACAAAAGGATTGTAAAGGGAAATTTAAAAGGAGAAAACTTGATTATATAATGCAATCCAGCAGTAATCAATTTTACCTTCAATATCTTGCTTTTGTTTTCAAAATGCTAAATAAACAGTACATAATGCATCCCTCATCAGCCAAACCATGGAGGCTCTGTGCTCAAATAACAGGAAACATATTCAATTTTCCTAACAGAAGACAGTTCATTAAGCTGTGCCACATCAAATAAAACTTTAATTTCTCCAGCATCAGAGTCGCAATGAAAGCAATTGAAGAAGATGAGCCATATGGTACTTCTATCAGCAAACACATATTGCTCATTCCCCCAAAGTTTTCTAATTCTGCTCCCCAGACCTGTGTAATATAGATAATGTGCTCCGAGAGCAGCAACCATGAGCTATCTAGTGTACACTTCTAATACTGTATTTAATGGGAAATAATGAATCATAAAAGCCTAGAGAAGATGGCTTTTGCTAACCTAAATCTCAGCTGTAATTTCATTGTTCTGTGCCTAAGATGCTGTTTGCCCTTTCCAAACAACAGCAGTTGAACATAATTATGCTGCTTCGAACCTGGGCTTGAAAAAGCATCCCTAATATAACCAACTTTCTATTAACTCCTGAAATTCTGAGTTTAATGATGCACTGATACAGGCCTTGACATAATCAAGCATGTATCATTTAAAAATCCAAATAAGCATTTTTCCCCTTCTTCTCTTTGGTCAGACTGCTCAATGCTTTTATGCTTCCTCCTCCGCCCCCTGCTTGCGTCCATCCCCCACCCCCCACCCCACCCCATGCAACAGGAGTGGCATGATTAAAAATGAGGAGATTTTCTTGTTATTAGCAAATTTGACATTTGCCTGATGAAATGCACATAAAATGTGAAAGCTACACAGTACTCAGAAGAATGTCTCCACTCCAATCCTAGCTACCAAGATGAAATAATTTAGGTAAAGGAAATGTAAAGGTCCTTGTACATCTCTTGCTGCGGAATGCTAGGGTTGTGTTATAAATGAAAGAACCAAATATTGCTGAGCTTTTAGAGTGATAGTATTTTGGCACATGTGAAGCGCATAGTGTTCCTTCTCTCACCTTAGCTGCTTTGACAATTCACTTAAACACAATACATATGCCCAAACACAGCAATGTGTGTGTCGTGAGCCCAACCTTTCTCTGGTTTAAGATCTTGGGGCTGGGGCTTTGTTCATTTTTAGGAAAAAATGTTGCCTTTTCCTCTAACTAGGTCAATAATTCCAGCTTTTCCATTTTTAAAGCTTATCAAATCAATATTTTACCAACATGATGCTAATTTAGAACATCATCAAATAACACCGTGGATACATATTGAAAACATATTTTAATGGTTTTGTTTGTTTTGGCATCATATGAACCAAGAACAATTAAATTAAAAAGAGACTTTTAAAAGTTAGAGATTGCCTTTTTAAAGCTTATTAAAATCAGCATGTTAACATGCCTGTCTCTGAATTAGCTCTCACACTTGATTGCCATCATTAAAACTAGTTGTTTGGGTGCTGCTCAAAGCCGATTCTTACTAGTTATTAACTTGAAATCTCTTTCCATTGAAATGTAAAAAAAAAAAAAAAAAAAAAAAAAATTCATTCTCACGAGTGGAAGAAGCAGTCACCAAAACATGAACTAGCACAGCAAGCCAGCAACATTAAACCACGAAAAGACCAACAGGTAAAATAACTACAGTAACATCTAAAACACACTCATGAAAAAAAAAAAATCACAACAACAACAAAGAAGCAGTCCATTGATTATATTTCATGAATGCCTTAAAACAAATGTTTAAACAGTTTTCTGAAACAGTGCAGAAAACCTCTGCATGCTCCACTGGGTTGCAATGACAATGGTCTATTGCAATGTAAAACACGCTGGAGGATAAAAAGGTGCTTTTTGTTACCATTTTATCAAAGCTGTTCATCTTCGAGCTGCAGGCAGCATTTTGCTGGAATTGCAGATATTTCTCTGTCCAGGCTCCTTTGTTTGTGCATCTCATTTGCATATATTTATCTCCAGCTGAGGGTGCGTTCTGCTCATTAAGGCCTCCCTTCACATTATTTCATAAGCCAGCTGCTGAGAGGGATTTCACCTGTGGTGACTGAGAAAAGAGGGGTGAAAAACTAAATTCTTCATAAAAAGGAAATCTTCTGAGTCTCTTCCCCTATAAATGGGCACCATTTGTGTTAAACAGCCTCTTGTCATGATAGATGCCTCCAGAGGTCAGGGGTTAAAGTTGATTTGAAGGTCAGCAGTAAAACAACAGACAAACCAGACGCCAAACTGGTTCCTTAGCTGTCGGTGGGAGCTGTGGTACAACCAGGTCTTGAACCTTTTTCAACCTCTAATAAAACAGGGGATGAATCTGAAGTGGATCAACCAGGCCCCTGAGGAAGCAGCACAGAAAAACACAAATAATATCAATATCAGGCAGCCACAGGGAAACAATGGGGCATTTCTCCGTGCTACATGCATGCTGCTATTGTTTCAAGGGCTGGGGAATTAATTCCACTTATTTATTTAAGGCGTGTCAACTCACTGCCTAAACCTGTTTCAGTGTCAAGATGAATAAAACTTTTATGGCTCATAAAATAGAGCCATTCATCTCAATGTTCTTTGTGGTGCGTTTTTTTTCTTTTCTTTTCTTTTCTTTTTTTTTTCCTGACATACTGAGCTAGGCCTCTGCTCTGAAATGGTTACATCTGAACCCATTGGTGCTACGATCCACACCATATTAGAGAAAAAAATTATTTTACTGGCAAATGGATCTCAACAGAAATGACACAAGGAAGCATTTTAGCTACGATGTAATAGCTCCAAATATTCTTCTAAATAATCCGCATGCAGTTGCATCTGTTTTGAGTATGCATTATTTACAAAGCAGAAGTTTTACTATTTTAGAGAAGTTCAAAAGAGATAGCAGTAAAGATATTAGTTTTCTAGAATACTATGTCACATATTTCATTTTACTTTAGAAATGCAACCTTGTTAGGATAGCTCTTTCCCATTCATCATTTTTTGCCCAAGTTTCCGCTGTTCTGTAGTCAGCTTATACTGATGTAATAATCAAATGCCTCCTTTAATTCAACTGCTTAGAATTTTATGCTTAATTTTCAGCATAAAATAGCACACATAAATGGAAAAGAAAATGCATTTTATGTGCTTTTTGGATTATAAATTTTTTAAAAAGTTCAGTTATAGAATTAATTTTACTTTTGATTTCCTGACAAATGACTTTAATAATAATATAATATAAACAGGTTAACATTCCTAAAGTGCCGCACACAATGCGAAGCACATGTATTTTCTCATGCAGTTATTAATAATAATTCAATCTAAGTCACACAGGTCCCCTTAGAATGGACTGTAACAACATTATTATCCACAACATATTTTAGTTGAGACAAAATGTTCCAGTCACACAATATCATCACTATAGCAGATCATTATAGCTTTAACAGATGACATCATGGGAACATAGTTGCTTTATATCAAAATGAGTAAAAAGAAGCAATTCGATGATATTTAACAAATTTTCTAATCACAGCCTCAGTCATGCATATTAACATTTTTGCTCCATTGTAATGTAAATGGATTTGTGGAGGATTCACTTACTGTCTTGTCCTGGTTGCTTTGTTTTTGAGTTCTCTATTGAATATTGTAGCCTTTACCTATGACGCTGGATTATTTCTGATGTAGTCAGTTGGTAGGTAAGGGTTTTCTCCCACGAACTCAAGTTTTTTCAGCAAGTAGATCATTTGAGAATGGCTCCAAATAAAAGTTGTGCTTTCACATTTTGCTCGTACACAAACATATGGCCCTGAGGAAGAGGGATTCATTTTGGGGTGCTAAGCACTGCTCAAGATATAAGTGCTTTTTATTTTGCATTTGAACTGGTGCATGCCCCTTAGAGATGGACCAGTTGCTTTACATACTGGTGGCCCATTTACAAAGCAGCCCTGTTTGAAAACAGATGCTTTCAAGTGGGTCACCAGGCTTTAAGAAAAATATTTAAAGTCATAATTGGTTGGCTTTTGGTCATCTATGGCAATGTGTTCTCATTTAAACATAGAGCAGGGGATTTTTCTTCTATAACCAATTACAGTTTAAAAAATGCAACGAATCTTGCTTCACACAAGGAGCTTAACTTGTGGTTGGAGAAATTTTCCAACTTATTAAATGTTGTTTATATCCTCATTTTTGTAGACCCTTTGTCTTCCCAAAGCATTTGATAACTCCCTCTGTAACTGACTTATCAATTTTCTTTCTGACCTTTCATTTTAAATTTAACCACACCCAAACCCCCAAACCCAGAACCTCCAAGCAACTAGACTAGAGCGAAAATATACAATTTACTCTCTCCATATCTCCACCAATGTCTTTCGTTTTTCTTGTACTCTAATCTAATCGGTAATTTGTAAGCTTTGGCCAAATAGTTAAAAATGTTAAGTGCTAGCAAAGCCTTTTACCTCCCCCTCAGATCTGTCTCTGTTTATGGAATAGGTCCCAGTTTCCTCCTCTTCTCCTTCAGCCCGGGGTCTTCAGGTCAGAGCACTGTAAATACACACAGCCCTTGCTGGACCCATAAATCTGAGCAAAGGGCAGGCCTATATATTCAGATAAGCAGGGGCAGAGATAGGGGCTTGAAAGGAGGGAGAACTAGTGGAGTCTGAGGCTCTGCAGCCCTGTTCAGAGAACTGAACTCAAAAGACCAAGAATCCTTAGTGCGGAAGGAGGAATTTTGCCTTGAAACATCTCCTCTTATTTCTAATGGACGAGGTTGGCACTGCTTCCTCTTGGTTTATTTTATTTTTTCCACATTGCTTATATTCACATCCTTACTGAACGTATTATCTTAAAGACAATCAAATTAAACAATAAATTTAATTTATTTCCAATGTCTTTTTTTCTTAAGTGTGTTTGTGTTTTGACCTCTGTGTGTGTGTGCATGTGTGTGTGTGTGATGTTTCTTGAAGTCATTTTACCAGAAATTCTTCTCTACTGTAATTTTTCAATCCCAAAGTTTTCGACTATATAACTATATTCTTAGTTACCACATTGAATCCCCAAGAAAAATACATCTAAAGGAGGAATGACAAAGTGACAAATAAATGCTTACATACCCTTCAGTCTTCAAGGCTTCCATTTTATTCCTGGGTTCAAGTATTTTCTGTTGGATTTTCACTTCTTGAAATTTTCAGTGACTCCTGGAAGACCATCCTTCTTGGGGGATGCACCCATTGTGACCACAGATAAGGTCACCGTGGAAAATCCTGGGCAAGATGACCATGGCTGAGAAGATCCTTTCTATCACACTTGACAGAATCACTGCATGATTCTTCTTTAGATACAATGAGTGGCACTACAGATTCATCTGGGTCATTTCAGACTCCAGGAAAATGTGTCACTCGATTTGTTTCTGAGCAATGTTTTGTATTTTATTGTATATATGTATATGTAATTTTAATCTGATTTCTCTAGGTTATTCTTTTTGGCTAATAGAGAATCGATTTTTTAAAAATACTAATTCATGTTCCTCAAAAGCTGCTTCTTTTCTTCTTTTCCTTGGTTGAAAAGTTAGTGATAATTCCGGGTAATTAAGAAAATTTTATGGAAAAAAATTGCCAAGAAAGTAATTGGGCTGGGAGCCCAGCATTTTACACCTACAGTAGAGCCTCATTTTTGACAAATCTCTTAAATGAAAACAAAAATAATGATAATAATCATTAGGTATCATTTATCGAGCACTTACTTTGGAAAGCAATGTACTAGGAACTTAAGATGTATATTGATTTTTATCTTTACAAGTGGTAAATGATGTACAACTCTACAGTCTCAATCTTATAAATGAAAAAACCCTCCGATTTGAAAAGTAAAGAAACTTAATCCAGAACACACATGGAAGCCCAGAACTTGAAAGTGGTTCTGGCTCTAGAGGGCTGTCTTCTGAGCTGCCTCTCATAGCCTCAGGTTCTGCATCTTCAGGATGAGTGTCTTGGGTGGAAGGGGGTCTATGCAGGGGTGATCTTCCATGGCCAGTTGATTTTCTCCAGCCCCTACTCTCCTGAGCCTAGCCTTGGCATTTTCAATAGCTCTCTGGCATCTGGGCCTGTCTCTCAAAGACCTCCTGGACCACATGTCTGAAACCGAACTCACTGATTCTCTACCTGCCGTGTCTGTATCTGTGATCCATGTGATGTTTAATGGGAGGGAGCACCCTTGATTCTGTAGTCTGAGCTTAAGGCTGTCTAACTACCTACCTTGTTTCACCTATCATGATTATCATCCAACCTGGCAGAGAAGTGACCTGTGCAGGGGGTGTTACAGTCTGACCACCTGGGTTTGAACCCGGACTCCCCTGTTTACCAGCTGTGCAGTGCTGGACAAGTTACTTTACTCTTCTGTGCCTTGATTTTTTTCATCTGTAAAATGGAGTCTAAAATATTATTTATTATTTATGGTGGTCTAGTTCAGACTGTTGGTAATGTTTGACAGAACTATTAAAATAGCCTTCAGGCTGCTGTTTCTGCAGTGAGGCTCTTCCTTTGATAATCCAGCCCCTCTGGATTGCAGAATAAAATAAATAATAAACATGATAATTTCCTGCTTAAAAATCTTTGAGACTCCCTACTGCCCTCAGGTCAAACTATTGAATCAGGAAAAGGCTTTCATTATTTTCCTCCAACTGCCCTTTCCAGAGTCATTTTCCACCATGACCCTCTAAAC